AGCATCACTGAAGCAATGAGCATGAAACTGAGCAAACTCAGGGAGGCAGTGAAGGACAGGAAGGCCTGGTGCAATATGGTTCATGGGGTCACGAAGAGTCGGACACGACTTAACGACTGAACAACGACAACAACAACATAACAAGAAAAGAAGCACTGAGCTTCACCCAGTTCCTTTAATCACAGCCCTTATAAGGACTCTTAGAATATAAACACAGGGGCATGTATATCTGGCTATTCTATTACGCTTTGTATCACTACTTCTTCACATATGGTAGGACAGCAAATTCATTTTTGCAGTATACAAATTTACAAAACAGATTGTCACTGCTTGCTTCAAATTTATGTTATTCATTCCCACTCACTTGGGGCTTCCAGAGAATAATATAATTAGCCTATTGTGGACTGATTTGCTTTACTCTCTCTCAGATAAAAAAGTAATTTTAGGCAAGAATGGGCTAGTCTTAATGCAGAATGAATCCTCTGTCTCAAGCAGCAGATTAGAAAAGGTGGTGGATCAGTGCAGACTCACTCACTGCTCTTTTAATGCACTGGCCAGCATAAGACATTTTGCTGGCCATCCAGCTTTTCAAAACAGATACTCCTTCTGTTTCTGATGCCTTATTAAGAGACATCTGCCAGAGTAAAAGTTGGATCTGATTTTCAACCAAGAGATCCCCACACGTGCCTCTTTACTGCAGAGCGATGTGTCTTAAGTCACAGGGCTAGCTAAACTCAAGAGCCACAAGTGAGGTTTAGCAAGAGTCAGTCTGTGTCATGTGAAATAAGGAAGTAAAAGCACTAGGATGAAATCTCATTGAAGGTTTGCATTGCTTCTCCTCATTCCCAGCAAATTATAGGAAAGGACAAGACATGCCTCTAAAGATGTAATGGATGGATATAAATGAAGAGAACTGCACCCTACTTCTTAAAAGAATATCTCTGCCCTGCTTTATCTATGTACAGACCATGCTGTTTTGTCAGTGGAGAACTGTAAGACCCTATAGCTGGAAGTCACCAAGTAAGTAATGCTGGATGTTTGTACCTTTCTTATCTGACACCCTAGAGTGGAAGCATTTATACCTGGACTATGTTCTTTTCTTGTTACAATTGGAAATTGTGCATAATGTAAGAGATCTCTATAATCCTTTCAAGAGATGAGCTCCTTCTGGGGAGCTCTGGATACTGGAGACCTCACCTAAGCACAAGTAGATTTAAGGCTCATTCATAGCCATCATTTTTCAGATTACCTATCATTGTAGACACCCAACATTCAAATAGCTTATTTTTACCCAGCTTTTACTCTACTTTTAACCTTTTTCACCATAAATTGTTAAGGAAAGCTTTAATTTAACTTTAAAGATCACTGCAGCGTGTTAAGGTTTCTATAGCCCTTTTTCACATTGCTAGGGTCAATTTATCTTTTACCTAAAACTTGCTAGGTTTAGAAATGTGACACAACCTTTTTATGATTTAAAAAGTAGCTGTTCCCAGTCTGTATTGATGGCAGCCATCTTTAAGTTGTTCTTCATCCAGGATAATCTAAAAATAGATGTTTTTTAAACAGAAATATAAAACTATATTAAGATTAAAAATTCATTTCCTACATTCTGAAGTAGTAACATTGCTGGTAAAAGTATTTCTTAGGTTCTATTACCTTTTTATATCATCTTCTGTTTTCAGATGAATTACAATAATGGTAAGATGCATTGTCTCAATTGGAACTAGGGCTTTCAGCAGCTTAGGCACCTGAGTAAATATAAATTCTTGGACATCTTCAATTTTATCTAAAATCTAAAATAAAGAGGGATAAGAGGTGACTCAAATGTAACAATTGCAGCCTATTAAGAAATGGTTTATTTATTAGACCATTTCATTATATTATAGATTTTAAAAATCTTTTGTGGCTCTTCAGAATGTTCAGTTGAGTTTTATTAATCAGAAAGAATGAAAAAAGCATCTGCAGTTTGCTTAAAAACTAGCATTACTATAAGATGCTTTCTGAATTTTTTACATGTCAGTTGTATTCTGAAGGATTGATCAGTGATTATGCTGGTTTGAATCTCAGTTTCACTGTGAGTACAAAAATAAAAGAATTTGATAAGTATTAACATGATCTTTAGGCAGTTGACAGTTGCTAATAGACTGAAAATAGAATAGCATTTCCATAATTAACCATGTATGACTTTCTGACTACAAGAAGAAAGTGATGCATTTTCCCAAGTGCTAAACTGTAATAGCAAATAAATCCATTCAATTGACTAAATTTGTTATTCTTAAATACATTATTTTTCCAAAATTGTGTGGCCCATTTTTATCTCTTTGGAATGTATTTCATATGTGTATCACTGATTTATAAAAGCTGTTGAAGAAAAATGCTTCTTTTGCAAGAATGTTCCATAATTAGCTTGCATTAAGATGAGAATGAAAGAAGAAAGAACATTCCAAGGGAAAATAAACTTTGATATAATTTATAATTCTGATTGGTATAATGCAAACAGAGCAAAATACATTTATATTACTGGAGAAGAAAAAATAGCATTTAAATACTTTTCATATATTAAGAAAGCTAACTACCATTTCGGGATGCTTAGCGTTTTACTGTATCACAATGCACATGAGTTATATAGATTTTTAATAAGAGAGTCAAATGCAGACCAGCAAAAAACTAGATACTGATGGCTTTGACTGTCTTGGAAAAAAATCCTTAGAAGTTTCATGAAGACACAATGCATAGATTTTCTACTGCTATTGTTTCATATTCAAAGTAGGGTATCTTCTATCATTTTTAAAATTTATTATCATTCGTACTGTTTCTGACCCTCATTATTCAGAGTATTCCATCTGAAACAGGAAAAATTAACATTAAAAATTGTACCCCAGAGATTCCATATTCTTCAGGAAGAAATCAATAAATAACTTGCAGTCTGCAAAACACCTCCAGTGGAACAGCTCCCTAACCTTTTAAATGTAGCTTGAGGGAGATATTCTCATTAAATTACCAGTTTGGGGTTTATACATACACATATTATTTTTTTTCTAAAGAGAGAAAAGAAAGACAGACATAAACATGAATTATACATGACAGATTAAATTACAGGAGTGTGTTCTACTAATGACAACATTTACTATATATTCCAATAATTAAAGACATATGACACATTAAATCAGAAGAAAGTATCTTTGCAACCATTTTTAAGAAACACACATTCCAATAATTAACATGCATATACACTTTTTTGCCTAAATCTTGTAGTAGATCTATTTTCCCATCTTTACAAGATTTTTTTCAACTTTTCAGGTAAGGAAATGAAATTCAACAGAAAAGATATATAGAAAGAATATAAGTATATTTTACAATTGTATCTTCATAAGTATACTTTGTATTTAAGTATATTTTACAATTGTGACTTCTACCCCTTCATCAATTTGTTGGATTTTTTTCCTAGATGTGTTTCAGTTTACTTATGTCTTAATTCTTAATTCTTAAAACCAAATTCTCAGAACTAAACAACATATCCAAATTTGGTCTGGCTAATGCATCATAAAGCAGAAAGATTAATTCCTGTAATCTAAACACTGTTACCGTAGCCTAAAAATGCACTAGGCATTTTTTTTTTAGTAGCCATATTGCATTACTAGTAATTTTCTAAAACACCTCCATTTTTTTACACATATTTCTTCCAAGCTAGATGCCTAAATACAAGACTG